TCACAATTGTATCTTATCATTATCGCAAAAAACAGAGATGACAATTAACTTTTTTGTGCATTCTCAGAACATGTACTCGAGTGTTTTGCTATATTTGCTACGCATTGACTGTTGGTGCCTACATCTTGCAAAATTGTATCGAAATCTTCGACTCTCAGATCACATAATTGAACGGAGATTACGTCACGTATTAATTTTATCAAAATCTGCGATATCGAGTGCAAAAAGTCATCGATTCTACGTCGAGCGACCTACCGACATCGTTCGTTGGCCCAATTAAACGCCACGACGCTCGTTGATGCGCGACGTGTTTTAATTACTTTCAGACTCGCGTTATCGAGAATTTAATACGGCGAACCTTGAACTTCGAACGCGTCGCATTTTCAAAGTGGTTTCGGAAATCGAAGACGCCGCTGTCAAGCAGCCTCAATAATGATAAACCGCGTGTTCGACGGCAACAATTATATCTAAAGCGATTAAATTCCTTCCTTACGCTGTATCGTTAATCTACGGACTTTGTCGACTAGAGTTTTTTCCGTGTCGATTGTTTGTTATTTTCGCTCGGAAAACTGCGAGATTTTCCAATATCTACAATGATCCTGCATAATCTATAATTTGCCGCAAAGAGATTACGCGATGGTGCGTTTCGTTTCGTGTTACGCAAAGCGTGCAACGATAACGCGCGCGGTTTTTGAACGTTCGACCGGTTAATTAATAGAATTCGTTTTCGCGAACCGTATTATATTGTACGCAATTTGCTTTATACTATGTTATACATCGATATCCAAACCTTTGTTTACTAAAGCGGCATAAAATTTCGTTGGTGCATGATATAATTGGAATAAAAGTGTGCTCACAACGCGCAAGTACGTTTCGAACATTCACAGTATTTGAACCTTCTTCGAATTATTGACAGAAATGTCATCAACACGTAATGTTAAGCACATTTGATGGCTAAACTTTTTCCACTGTATCTGCGCCGTCACAACTAACCGAACAAATTTGTTTTTTAAACGTACGAAGTCCTTTAACGAGGAAACATACGCATGCACGCCCGTTAAATCTACTATTGCGTGTGTTTCTGGAGAATAATAATTAAGATGGATAAGAGCTTTAATTAAGTGGTTTCAGTTGCATCATATTATTGTGCAAGCTGATGCTAATAAACGAGCCGGGAACATTTTTAAATTGAACTCAATTATGGTTATTGCAGTACTAACAAAGAGAGATACTTTAGGATGCCGTTTACCTAGAACGGAGTTATAGTTTGGCCAAGTTATTAGAATCATCCTGTATTTACACGCCAAGTTACTGACACGCCGTTAGCCTTGAATAAAACTAAAAAGGAGAATTTCCTAAGCTAAAGACTTCTTAACGACCTTTTGCGTAGTTATGCCACTTAAAATCGTAAGATTAACAATTTTTCAAATAGTTAACATTAAAGTTTAGGCGCGAATTTATGTTCTGAAGTTCCTCTCTAACTTTTAGGGGTCATACTATATCCATGTGGAGCGTTGATTTAGTACTCCATCATGACTTGTAAAACCATCTGTAAAACAAGAGAAATAAATGACACTAGTTTTAAAGCTCTACAGAAGCTTATGAGGCATTCTAACTTTACTTAAAATATGGTATGAATGGTCCCTAAACAATTGTCATTTTAATTCTGATGTAATATATGCTACTATGCAGGATGTATATTTTTTTTGCAGATGGTCGACGATTATTTTGCCCAAGAACAGGATTTTTTGGTTAATTTTCGAACTGATGTTTTTGAACATTAATAAAGCACCTAGTACGAGGATGTTTATTCGAGTAGGCTGATATTTCACGTCGCGGCAAAGTGCCATCAACCTCAGACGGCGAAGACGATTTTCTGCTCCCGCGAAGCAGCCCAGTCACGATTAAGCTTGATATATTACTATTTATATATCAGTAAACTTTAATCTAATAACGTGCAAATATATCTTAAAACGACTCAGAGCATGAACCAACAACGTTATCGCCGAAACATGATAGAACTCTGTGCACATACAATCTCCTGAGCAAAGAAAACCGAGCACTATTTCAAGATTATTAACGACCTGTAAGTTTACATCAGAATATCCCTAAATCCTTCATAACACACGATATACAGGTTGATTTCTAATTGCGTGTCTCCAGGTGTTAATATAAAAGACAGCTCAAGAGACGGGTCAGGATGGTGGGCCAGGATTTATTTTCAGAGCTACGAGAACTCGAGAAGAAAAACGCGTTATGCAATGACCTGACCTAGTCTTATATTGTCTAGCAGTACTATATATATTTCCCACTATTAATATTAATATACATATTAAGTCAATTGCTTTCGCCCGAAGAGATAAAATATCTGGGTCCACCGACGTTAAAATAACAGACGCTCGTTTGATGTATGACGCGTCGAACACAGTCGTTAATTTATTATACAGGGCAGAGTGGAATTCGTAGTTCGAAAAGGAAAAATAAAAAATATGGGGACTGTCCGTGTCGAGATAAATGGAAAATGTGGAATAAAATTTGTTCGTAAAAAATTCAACATACGTGCGTCTGACAATGAATTAACGATTAATTAAAGGAATCTGAACATTCATTATTCTACATTTCAATGTCTGAGATCTTATTGATCGTGTAGCTGACACTACATTGTTATTCGCCTTAATAAACTTTAGATATAACTCCAGCAGACACTCCTATTGTTTTTGAGCACGAAGCTGCAGTACTATTGTCGGTTACCGTGAGTCTCGAATCGAGATAAGTTTCGCTACGACTTTACAGTAAAGGAACGAAATGAATACAGGGTGTAACTAAAATAGAAGATCAAACTTTAGAAGCATATCCGATTCGTACAAAGGCTATAAAAGAACAAAAAGGTCAGTTAAACTTAAAGTTTAAAGTCATTTCTCTTCTGTTAAACGTAATTTTCCCCCCCTTTTCTATTTCTTTTTTTTGATCGTTGATTCTAATGTACGCCAAAGTACGAAAATTATCAATTGCCACGTAAGTGTCTGATAGTTACGATAACGTTTATGAACATGGCAATTTATTCCAACATCGAGTGGACAGATATCCACGTTATCATCGAAATAATAGAAACTACAGAAAAATTTCAAGTGTCTATAGATAAAATCTTCAAAAATGATGTTCTGCTAAAAATACATTTAGACCTGAAGAACCATTAATCATGAATTACTCGTGCTTCAACTAATTGCATAAAAAAATTTCAAATACTTATTCCCGACATTCTACTATTGATGCCTCGCTGGAGGAATTGATTGGGTCCTTCTCGATCGTCCGAAATAACTAGCTCAAGTTGTTAATTTCTACGTAACTATCGTTTGAACCAGAGGATAACTAACATAGGATAAGATTTAACAAAATGGTTAAATAAACAGTTCAGTTGAAATCGATGATGTTTTAAAAAAAAAACGATCTGAAAGTGAGCGATGTATTGTGTGTATACACCACATACGTTGGAGTAAACTCGACTCTTTTTTCACTTAATTTTCCTTTTCTAAAACTCTGGGAATTCTTTCGTAAATTTGCATCAACTTTTTCGCGTCGTGTTTTCATACGCAATTACATGGGCAACCGTGAAATCAAAACAAAGCGTGTTTACGTTAAAGTTTTGACGACTTCGTTCTACCGCTCTCGTAAATGTAGGCAACGCAAGTAAACGACAAGTATTTACATCTCTGGAATGAATAATTTCTAGATCTCCGTGGATACACACGAGCAATTTTCGTACTTCGTAGGAAGCGGAATACACTCGTAAAGTTTAGCCACCTGTTTCAGTTACACCATATACGTAGAAAGAGAGTGAAACTCGATAATTATGCCATCGCTGCAAACGAATTATCTCAGCCCGTGTTTTCTTGACGTACTGTTCTTGCGCCGATCTCTCGTACTTACGTTAGAAACGGCGAACAGCTCGTTAAGAAAGTTTTCGTTTCCGCGACGCGCGCTCCGGCTGAATTCAGTTGTCTCTTCTCATGTCCATTCCTCTGAATGAACTTTGTACCATTCATTTGCCTCGAGCGTCGACTGTTCTACAGTCGACGCCAGCGTAAATATTAGTCATTTTCAGATAACTGATTCTCAGTATATTGCGTGTGTTTAAGCAACGAGTCCCCAGAGCGCGAGTCGTCAACCTTTCCTACTCCAAATTAATCATTTTTAACGAATACGATGATTATCTGCTTATAATATTATAAAATAGGGCATGTTAAATTTAAGTGGTCCAAATTCGGTACACTTTTTTCAAAAATTTTTCCTAATTTCGAAAATATCACAAATTGCGACAGTTATTATTGTGCTAGAAGAATTGGAGCAGGCTGTGAGCGTATAATTTATAAATGAAAAAGAAAGATTGTTGAAAAATAATTCGATAGGGTCGGGCGGAACACTTCAAAAGACCAGGGAATCCTCGATCCCCGAACTGGGTCAAGTCCCAACGAAGCTTATCGTCGACGCATCCGAACGAAGGCAGTCGGTCACATCTTTCTGGCGTATTCTTCCCAATAAAGATAGATCGACCAAGACCGTTCGGTTCGTTAACTCGGCATAAAGTCGAAGGCTTCCCAACGAGGGCTTGCAAAACCAGCTATGGAAAAGACAACCGCTCGCGATACTACCGGCTGACCTCCGTATCGATTATAACACACGATAGAACGGCGTGAATGAGCGCGGGCTAAAACGAGAAGAGGAATGCATCGCAAAGTGGAGGGGATCGTTCGCTCGACCTAAGGCCGTACGCGCATGCGCTTTCGTTCTTCCAGTCGGTCACGTAGGTGCACCTGAAAGGTTCTGAAAATTTCGTGTCGCCGTGTTCGCGTCGACGTCGACGTCGATTTCGCATTCCCGGGCGATTCCACGCCGTGTTGGACGAGCGAATCGCCTCCGTAACGGTTGTAAAATACTCTGCATTATCCGTGGACGCAAAGTGGAACGTGTCGATGTAATCGTATACGGTTAAAAATACTCACGGTTTGTCGGGCTGCGATTTCCGAACCATCATCTCGGCTTTCTGGATCTCCTCGGCCCTGGTGACGCTCTTGGTTCGTCGTAACCTCACCTTCGTGTCGTTTTCGTGATCCGCGGTCATATTGTTGCGCGACGAGGGACAAGCACCACGCTCACAGACAAACATAAACACACACGCACACACGCACTCACGCAAAGGGACGCGGAACTAGTAGTCGCACACCGCTCGCGCTCGCACGACGAAAAAGAAAACCGACCGCCGTGAACGAGACGAGGAGCGAACCGATCCTAACGAGCTTTCGCTTTCACTCGCGTCGCGCCGCGACAAACGACGGGGATTTGATTGATCGCGTATCGACTCGTAATCGAGAAGGATCGATATCGGAGTCGTATCGAGCGTGCGTGAACGTGAAACGTCTTGGAGCAGCGCGATGTCTATCGTCAGCGTTCGCTTCGCTTGCACGCGACCGTGTTTACCACTAGACAGCCGCAATGATACTACCCGGCTTCCCATCGGTCACCGTCTCCTACAGCCGTCTGTTTATCTCCATGTTTCTGCCAGATAACAATATCGTTACCAATCGTGGCACGTTTTTCAACGAGAAATCCAAGAACGGCCAATCCTCGACCAATCTTAAACATTTTCGGTACAGAGGGCGCGAACGAGTTTGCACAGTAAAACCACGCGTGTCACGAAATAAGAATGGCCAAAGATACAACGTTTAGTAAACGTTATTAAATAGCTTCGAGAACTGTCTGCAACGGGTAATACCAGACAATATGTTAGTGTAAATTATAATTACTTTAATTTAGTAATTTATTATGTACAGAATCGATATCTTTCTTATCAGGTTTTAACACTTTCGCAACCTCTGACGTAATTTTAGATCATTTTTATATCTACAGCTAGTTACCGCTGACGAATTTTACGTCGTTTTATATTTGAGGCGGATGATTTTATCATTCGTTTTTTTAAATTACTGATCTACCTAAGAATAACTTTTTTCCGTTATAAATACGTATTTTAATTTTATAGATAACAAGGTACATTTTTTAATTTAATATTGTTTCGACTTTCCAGGACGCTCAGAACGTAATCGTAACGAGCAAATTAAAGTGTCTCCACACAATATCTCTGAGAAAAATAACAAAGAACTTGCAATACAGTTTTCGTGAAAATGATTCGTTTAAACGTGAAACTACTGTACATTTATTCGACTATGATGTAAATCCTTTCATTAAATTCGTCCAATTCACAAAACAAAATTAGAAATAATTTAAAAGTTTTACGCTAAAAAGTGAAATTGTAAAATTTAAACCAGATGATGCAATAATATTGTATAAAAATATAACTCCCCACTCTTATCTAATTATTTCCGATCGTGTACTTTTTTCAGAAGTATATCAGCAACGCTTACATCACCGAGCAAGATTTTTAATTACGAATGTAAATTGAAAACAAAAAACAAGACCCCATTGTAAAACAATAATTTTAATACTATGTAAAGTTATTATAACTTTATTCGGGCCAAAGATTAACGAGCTCGTATTAAAGAACCGACGTCGGTCTTGAAATGCTTCTTCAACCTCAAGAAGCCAATAGAAAACGGAGTACCTTCGCACGTTCGCTATATCACGTATCTGTAACCCGTCGATTCTCATGAAGGACCATATACGTCGCATACTGTGCCAAGGAAAAATCCGGAACCTCGAAATATCTCGAAAGAATTTTTCAAGAACAAATGTAGAGTTTAAAAAGATTCACTTTTTAATTAGCGATCTCCTATGGTTTTCGAGACAAACTGTCTTAAATTTTAAACGGGTGGTCTTGACACTAATGTAACGATCTTTAGGGTTCGTTTCAAGATCATCTTCAAATTTTTAAATGGGGAAAAATAACGAAAAAGATTCGACTGTAGGCGTAATAACAAACAAGCATATAAAAAGACAAACAAAGATCGAGAGTACCTATAATATAAACACGTAAAACTCGCAATAATTTCGTATGCAATCATTTATCTGTTGTTCGGATCACGATCCTCTAAATGCTCTGTACAAAAGGTGCTGCAACTGGTGTGTAATTTAACTGCTTCAAGGTTATTACTCTAAATGCAGGCGTGTTCGAACAGTTTCACGAGCGCTCTTTTTCTCGTTCCGCTGCAAAAAGAAACTGCTCGTCGTTTAAGGCACGACCTTATTACGCGTAATGCTGTATTGTGCATAATCTTAACTGAAAATCTCGGCTCTGAATAGAAGGGTCGATGGACGCCCCGACGCGTTCATTTTTAAAGTCATTCGGATAACAGCGGTTACAGTCCGCAATTAAAATGGATAATTACCGCGCATCGTAATCCGGCTTTACGGGGCTGAAACTTCGTATTTTACACCGGTAGTTACAATTTGATGGTACTTTTGTCCCTGGCCGGTCGTAATGAAATGTAATTCCCTCACCTGTGTTTCACGACCGAACAAGAAGAATCAACGATGTATTGTTTCGGGTCGTTTTCACTCCATTATTATTTGTCGTTTAATCCCCATAAAGTAAATTTAATCAGACTTTCCAAATCGATACATATTTAAACACTTTTACGTTTCGTCGAATAAAAAGAACAAAACCAATATTTATAAATCCTGAACAGATTCAATTTTATTGCAAGATTGTTATAGCCTTCTTTTATTTATCAGTACTATATTTTTAATTGAATATCTATCGTTGAAATGCACGAAACACTTGTATATCATTAACGATTATTTAACGAGTCTCCTTCGATCGCGTAGTAATTATTCTATCAAAATATCCATTAAGACTTCGGTTGTCGTAGGCTTTGCTTTTCGAGTTTACCGACGGGGAGAACTTTAGTTCACTTCATCGGTGAAACTCGTAGCGTAGAAACCGGAAACTCCGACGAACGCTCGAAAGTTCAGAAGTAAATAAACCCGAGCGCAAACACGCGAGACAATTTCGCGTGTCAATTACGCGACTCTTCGAATCTTTGGCCAAGCCCGAAGATCCGTGCCCCGAAGAAAGACGAGATACACGCGAAGAAAAGCTAATTACAGTAGCTCTGCGCTCCGCGTTGAAACACCCACAGATCCCCGGGAAACGCACAGGAAATCCACCCTTTTAACTTGCCGGCAAATGACGCATCGAATCATCCTAGTCCAACGATTCCCTATTAAGCTTGTCTCTCGAATGCTTTGAAACTCGTTGCAAATTATCTTTGCCAGCGATGTATCAAAGCCCAACGCGGGAGAACGGAATTACGCTATGCTGTTACATTTCGTGCGACGCGTAAGCTCAAAAACTGTGAATTACCACTTTGCGGCACACAATAATCCCTGCTTATATGTCACCGAATTGGATTCGCTCGTTTGCGCAGAACGTTTCCCTTGTTTCGGATTCCTTGTTGTCAAATTTATATCTCCATTGTCCAGATCAACCAAATAAAATAGAAATTACTATGTTAAGCTGAAATCTGTAAATTACCACTTAGCTGCACGCAATAATCCCCGCTTATACGACACCCAATTGGCTTCGCTCGTTTATAAAGAACGCTTAGCTTATATTGGGTTTCTCGAGAGGACACGAGAGATTCAAGATGTAGTTTTTTCTTTTATAAAATCTATATCTTCGTTGTCCAAACCAACTAAATAAAAATGATTTCAGTAACTGCGTGCATCTGTATTCTAAAGACAATGCAGTGCTGATAGCTTCGTCCGGCCTTCTATAATTCAGCTTGTACCAAGCGATCGTACGTTTGCAGTTCCATTCGTGGCAAATATAGCCGTTTCAAAACGAAGTGGAGCAAGCTTTCCTGCGAAACCTCGCGCTGTTACGCCAGCACGTACGAGTAGTGCCCGGCAAAGTCTATATTCATTCTCTGTTTCGCGTCGTTTTCTAACGTGCACCTTCGTGCACGGCTGCACGTTCCGGATGGTCGTTGCAGGCGGCAAAATACAGTAGGAGAAAAGCCGTACTAGCCGTTTACGAACTCCCTTTATGGCTAACCACGGATGTTACCGAGCACACCGGCAAGTACGTTACTCTACATACATAGTTACACGTCGCCGGGATCCGCACAGACATCTGCCGACTCGACTGTACGCGAATTTCCAGGATTCCGAGTTGCGCTTAATATGCTCGCAGGACCCTTTTACTGGCCACTTTTAGCTGACCGTGAGATCCAATATCCCGGGATCTGATTTTTAAAAACCCTGCCGCGAGACATAATAAAAAAATTGTTGGAATGAAGGTTACAAGCAACGTTAAACCGTCAATGTACGTTCAAAAATTCAAGAAAATTGTGTAAAATATCTCGTGTGTATTTCAAACGCCTTTCTATATTCGAAAAAGAATTATTCCGATATTTTTACAACTATTAGGTCGTCCCATAAGTTCGTGCCGTCCGATATTCTGAAATTGACGAGGATAAAATTTGCAATTTAATAGGAAACAAACAAAATTTGTTAGTTCGAGAGATTTCTGAAATTGTAAACTAACATCAAGAATTCATAGAAATCTGAAACAAATAAATATTGTTTCAAATCTCGGAGTTTGGAATCCACGCTGGCTTACGGAAGGAAATTTTCTTGATCGTGTTTGAGCCTGATTGCATGAATATTTTTGTTAACATACAATCAAACCGAATCTTACGAGAAAGGATACAATTTTCCGGGTTTATTAGTGGGTAAACAACTTGAAAATGTCAATGTTTCAATAAAAAATCAAAGAAATTTTGCAACGATGATACAGTGGCTTTCAAAACGAAATGGATGTTTTTCATAAAATTCCATTACATGTTTAAAATATTGTTTTAAGTTGTAGTACAAAATTCCGCACCAACATGTGGGACGTCCTAATATTAACGAACAATACGAAAAATGTTAAATTGCATATTATTAATCGTTAAAGAAACAAAAAAGAAGAGTAGAGTATTCGTTGGGGGCGAAACGTGATTTTTATCGAAACGTATAGCCATTCCGGTCGAAACGCCTCGTTAACGGCCATCGAAAGTAATACCGGGGCTCGTAATTTCTGGTGAGTTCTGGCACCAAACGACTTCAACGACAGCGACAAAGAAACCCACGTCATACATTTCCTACGACGTGATCGCGCTATCTACGTACTAAGCGGTTCGTTAAGCGGCTTTCACGAGCGTTTCGCAGTCGATCGTTTTCGAAAACGGTCGTACGACGTTGGCGGCCGTTTACAACCGATTACGTGCCCGATGATCTTGCGTGATTAAACGTCACATACGTAGGTACGTGCCCGGGCCGGAAGAAATAAAAATCGACGATGATACGATCTTATTGCGTTGTTCGATCGTGCAAACATTTGTAACGAAAGCGCCATTTCTGCCCCCGTAAATTTCCCATCGGAGGTTAATCGAATCCTTAAAACCTCGAAATTGATAAAAATATCGATTTTTATATTTACGGTCTCGACTCGCGTTCTTAAGGTATTAATGTTGCATCGCAGTTTTGAAAGAGAATCTTTATATAAAATTTTCTTCCAAACATCAAAGGCGAAAAGTCTCGGACCTTGAACGCTTGGAAACACGTTTCCTAAACTTAAGAAAAATTCTATGCCCGCGGTTATTCTTACCGCGTACGAAAGACTATGTAGACAATTTTTCTACCAGTATTTGGAATCGATCAACGTCGAAATAAGTTTCGATTCCATCGAGAATCTAGCGCCGTTCCATCCTGCCTTCCATTCATATGTCAACCGTCCGAGAAAAGGAGAATCGGGCTGAACT